TTATAATTAAATTATTTTAAAAACCTTTTAAAAAACTTAAAATCTTTGTTAATAAAGTTGATAATATATATATTAAACTATATTTTTATATAATAATGATATTATTAAAATTAATATTTAATATTTTATAAAGAAATTAACACTTTTTTTTTAACTTTACAGGCAAATTTGCCTGCTTTATAATTAAGAGATAAATAAAAATCAATTAAAGTTGATTTATTTTTATTAATTAATTAATCTTATAATTAAACATCTTTAAATCAGTGATGGCAAATTATAAAGTCATTTGACTTGAAATTTATAATAACAATAAGGTTATTTGAGATTAGTTGAGATTATTTCAAGATTATTTCAAAATCTTTTGCCAATCCTACTTTAAATAATCTTTTATATATATTGAATTGTTATCTTAATACTTTATTTTATAATTTTTTAGAATCTTTATTTTAATTATTTTTATATTTTTAAAGTAAAATATATTAAAATTTAATATTAAAAAAAAATTATTTTGTAATTTTAAATAATAAACATATATAAAAATCAAATGGAATATTTTATTTGTCAAAGAATATTTCGCAAATCTAAAAGATTATTTTAACATTCTAAGACTTTTATAAATTACATCTCCTAATTAAACTTATAATAACTTGTTATCATTTTCTGAAATATTTTCTAAACAAGGTTTTAGAAACATTTGAAATTAAACATTCATCAAATTTAGTTATAAAAATTCGAAAATTATTAATATTATTATTAATGGATAATGCGAGGAATAATTTCTTGAAGATAAATTACAATGAAATAATGCCTATTTAAAGTTTATAATCATTTTATAAATTTATGGAAAAAAAAAAATTAAAAGAAATATTACATAAATATACTAATCAATTACAAATAAAATAATAAAAATGAATTATATATATATATAAATATAGTTTATACACATTAATAGCAACAACATTAATCATTTAATCATTTATATTTCTAAAAAGTCCAGAAATTTCTCAAAAAAGGAATTGTATCTAAATAACCTTTATAACCAATATCTTTCAAAACACCGCTTGTTAGATATTTTTGAAGAATTCTGTCGAAATCTATCCTTCCATAAGGTAATAAATATAATGATAACGAATTTTTTTGATTTTCTTTCCAAAATTCCAAAAAATCTATTAATTCTTTCGAAGTAAAAGTCCATTTTCCTTGTAAACATAAAATACATAAATTTTCATTTCCATGTGATATCATTTCCAATAATTCAAAAATCAATTTTCCTTGTACGGCATTTCCTGTACAACTTTCATCTGAATAATATACATCCGAATTCGAATTTGGATCTTGATAACAAAATTTAATTGCTTCTAATTGACGACATAAATTCAATAAAGTGAAAAGTTCTTTCTGAGTTTCTTCTGACCACCAAATAGTCAAGAATCTTAATGTAGAGGAAGCTGGTAATAATATTTGTATAAAATGCTTAATTTCCTCGATACAAACAGGTGGAGTAATGTCATTCCAATAAATTCTTTGCAAACAAGGAGAATTTGAAGCAGAAACAGAATTTGAAATTAAACTTGAATAAGTACTAAATGGAGCATTCTCATCACAAAAAATATCCAAAATCTCAAGTTTAGGTAAGGTTGTATGAGATAATAATTCCATATTTGCAACCCTTGTTGTTATTTCCAATTGCAAAATTCTTAAATTAATGAAATAAGCAATAGTTTCCGGAGGAATACATAAACTTTGTCGTATTTTAAGGAAAGATAAAGAATGCGATTGAGTGATTAATGCTTGACCAATTCTTGGACAAGTACTAACATAGTCTTCAGACGAATCCAACACAAGAGATTTTAATCCTTTTTGTAATTTAATCAGAGTGACCAAACCTTCATTATCCTCATCACAATGACAAATTGTCAGTCGATGAAGGTTTCTGCTGATATGAGCTAATCCATAAAATAATTCTGGTGGTCTATCGATATAACATTTAAGGTGTCGAAGATATTCTAGACAATGATTTGCCCCAGGAAAATAAGATAAAGGAATCCTTGGCAAAACAAGATGTTTAAGAGAACATCGTGACATAAATAATTTATAAAATTCTTGTTCTACTAAGTGTTCTCTGTATAATCTAGACGAATAATATTCGCCATCAACTATTTTTTTATTATCTTCTCCAACCGTTAGAATTCTTTTAAGCCTATCCATCACAGTAGGCGATAAATATTGACAATACCCTACATAATCAAATAAGGGAGGTTTCGATGATATTGTCTGTAATAGATCTATTCCATTATTTCTCAATATATCTTTAGATTCTTCAGGTAAACAAGATAAAAATGTTCTTATAATCGCTGGCCAATTTCTATCTATAAAAAGTTGCGTGCTCTGCCACGGATTATTCCACAAGAGTGGGATTGCTATTTCACACCATAATGTATTCACTAATAAACAAGAATGAAGTGAACTTGCGTCGTCTAATAAATATCTAAATATACCATTAAGACAATCTGTTGGTAAAGATGGTGTCATTCTTGAAGAATTTCAACTCAATTTTCTTATTTTTAAAAAACAAAGATTTCGAGAAAAAAGAAAAACTTGTGGCTTTTTATATTTTTTTAATAACATAAACAAATATCGTAGCCATATTACCCAAAGAGCAATGACCGATCAATGATGATTTAATCGAATGACACAACATAATTCCATAACATCATATATTTTGATTGGAGCAGTGAATAATTTCGTTTAAGCACGTGCATACCTTGTTGGCGCAGTATCAAATTTACTCTTACTGCGCCTAGGTGTAGATCATTCCCGATTTAAGTTCACGTGCATTAATAAAAAACAAATTTTTTTTGATTTCTCTATTTCTCTTCATATAATATTTCATAATGCCAGATATCGTTCTCTCATTAGCCAGACTTCGAAAGCGGAGAAGATTTCTCCAAACTCTTAAAAAATGGGTTCCGAAATTTCGGTATTTATTTATTGAATTTACGTTATTTAATATATATTCTTTTTGACGTGCTTGTTTTTGGTATAAAATATAGGTACCTATTGTTTGCTGTTGGAATATGTTGGCTATTTATTCTTCCATCGGAACAATATCACAAAAACACATATATATCAGAAAATGCTCTACTCCCCGGCCAGGTTTGTTAATTAATTAATATTATTATGTTTAAAATTAAACCTAAAATTATAATTAATTAATTAAATAACCCATTCATGGTATAGGTCAACACATATTATAACTGGGGACAGGTTTTTGAAGCAGTTACTTTTCGAGATGATATAAGCCAGATGTCAAATTTTTCAAGTATAAAGTATGTCAATTGATAAATCTGATATAATGTAATACTTAATCAATTTTTAAGTATTATTTTCCTTGTTAAATGATTCAGGAGAGCTGTGTACATAGAAAAAGGATTACGGAAGGCCGGATTAAAAACTGAAGTGCAGAATTTTACGGTTAACATATCTGGAAAGGTGAATAATTGGGTTCAACCTTTTTTTTTTAAAAAAAAAAATTATCTTGACTCAGTAATTAAAATAATAAATCAATTCATAGAAAATTTCTGGAACAAATGTTTACGGCTTAATCAAGGCACCACGTGCAGATGGAACAGAAGCGCTTGTGTTGAGTGCCCCATGGAAATCAAGGGATGGAAAAACAAGTAAAGTTAAAAAATAAAATATATTATTTCTTACATTCCTTTCAACTTACGTAATATTAATTTTTTTTAAATTTTAGTTAATATCAATGGAATAGCAGCTGCTCTATCTTTGGGAAAATTTTTCAAAGGTAAATGATTCTTTTGGGATTTAACATTTCCCTATCAGTTTTATACAAATTCTCCTTACTTTATTAGGTTACACTTATTGGTCCAAAGATATTATAATTCTTATTACGGATGGTGGGGAAGCCGGCGTTCAAGCATGGCTTGAATCATATCACGACCTTCCTCGATCAGGTTAATATATACTTTAATTAGGAAAATTAGGTTCTAATAATGATGTTAATTTTTGTTCTTCAATTATTTATATATAAAGGCATTTTATCGACACCGTTATTGTTGAGATCTGGTGCAATTCAGGCAGCTATAAATTTAGATTTTCCAAATACTTCTGATTATAAGGCATTGGGAATTTTTTTTGGTAATTTATTTTTATTTTAATTCTCTTTACACTAATCAATGTTCTAACATATTTTCAATTTAGAGGGCGTTAATGGACAACTTCCTAATTTAGATTTAATAAACACAGTCGTGAGAGTGTGTCGAATGTCAAATAACATTCCCATCATGTTACATGATTCTGGACATCATTACCTTTATGATAATGGAAATTACTATGCCTCATTCCATAATTTATTGCAGGCTATGAAATATCAAGCTTTAGGACATCCAACTGGAAGTCACGGCTTATTTTTCAGGTGAATAAATTTATTTATGATTTCATTTATCGTAGTTGCTAATTTACGTTTTTGATTTTTAATGTAGATATAAGATTGATGCCATAACTTTATATGGTCATACTTCCGCTCCTACTTCAACTTCATTCAGTTTTAAAGAAATCGGCTCGTAAGATTTTTATATCATTTCAACTATTATTTTTTCTTCCTATTTTAAGTCTTATTAATTTGAATGTTTGTTCAAATTATAGTATCGTGGAGTCAACCTTTAGGAGTTTAAATAATCTTTTAGAACATCTCCACCAATCATTTTTCTTTTATCTTTTGCCAACTCCAGAAAGATATATTTCGATAGGCTCATATCTGCCACCTGCCTTATTATTAGCTGTTGGATTGATTTTCCATATATCCTTTTTTTTTCCCCCTGCTTAAATTTTGAACTATTATAAACCCTTAATATTTTATTTAAATCACGCTTTAGAATTATGGGGGAAAACAGGAAATATCATTGAATCATCTCCCGAAGATGATCGGTCAAAATCTAGTTCATCAAACGAAAATGTTCATGTTGTTCCTTTACCGTATAATGATCGGCCACGACAAATTTTATTTCCCATGACAGTTTTGATTGTGACTCATTTTACAGGATTGCTCATTTTCTTTATTATTATAAATCATTCTTCAATTAGTCAAATGACAGAAATTTTTGGCATGCAGGTGAGTTTTAGGTGTATTCAATATTTATCAATTTTAAGATATTAAACTTTACTTTTATGTATGTTTAGGGTTTTTTATTTACACTATCATTGACTACAAGTCTGTCAATAATAGTACCAACAAGTTTAATAAAAGTCTCACAAGTTAGACCATCTAATAATATAATACCACCTTCAAGACAAAAGCCCGCACCAAATTGGATAATATTGAAATCATTTACATTAGCATTTACAGCGATGATAATATCATGCTTGTCTGTTCTTAATTTTAATTTGGCGGTATTTATTTCATTAATGGTTATAATACCATTTTCATTGTTTCAACCAACTCCAAAATACCAAATATTACAATATTTACAACTATTAGTGTTAATAATAATATCACCACCAGGAATATTATTATCTAGTAGAACGAATATGGAAGAATTTTTGAGATGGGTTTTAATGGAATATGAATTATTTGGAAGCTATTTATTACCTTTCATTTGTTGTTTTTATTGGCCTAATATTTTGGTTTATGGTGTAATTGTTTTTTCTGAAAATACAAGTTAATTTATTAAATAATAAAATAATGTAAAGTAAATATTATAGAAATTTTAATATCAATAAATAATAATAAATATATTTATATACAGTATATTTGATTATTAAATCCTTTATGATAAAATATTAATGATTATTTCCAAAATGTTAATAATTCCTATCATGGAGAGATCCTTAACTAGCACATAAGAAGAAGGACAAGATTTTATATAATACGATGACCTCATTATTATTCATCTCTCACCTTTATTGATTATTTGTCGTTTTGAAAATCTTGATAACTTGTATTGCTAAACCGGAATTATAATCTATCTTTCTTTTTTCATTTTCGAAGATTAGCAGCCGTGTTCTACTAATGCATCATTTTTTTTTGTTTTGGACTGTCTATTGAAAATTCCGTGTTTAAACGATAATTATGAAAAAGAAATTTAAGATTTGAATATTATAATGAATATTCATTTAGAAAAATTCTCAAGCATAATGTAAATTTACAAATTTTACAATTGATGGAATTGTAGAAGATATTGGAAATCCCTTACTTCGAGAACTTCAGAGAGTATATATTGGTCGAAGGTAAAATTAAAAAAGCGGAAAACTTAAATCGATTATATTACTCTGAAAAGTAAATAAACAATTAATAGTCCGCTTTGTCATATATCTTTCAGTTATAATTCGTGATTATTTGAATTTAAACAATTAATAAATTATGGGCATAAATATCAAAACATTTTATCGTAATTTGCCTAAACAAATTCTATTCTCCTGAAATTTTTGAATTTTTTTTTTTTAAAAGTAGAGAGGTCGACCTACACTTTGTGTTGAAATTATTGTATTTACGAGAAGTAGCATGACTTCTTCAAAAACCAAATTTATCACAAGCAAATTTTCTGTCATATCAAAACAAAGAATATCCATAAATTATTAATATAATTAATGTAAAATGTTTCTTAATATATGATCAAGGTAAAAAAACAGATTGCATATTTCGTTGCTGACTTAGCCAAACCCTTCTTTTTAAAATAAAAGGGCTCGTTGCCACCTGATCACCAACGTTGAGGTGCAGCAACATCGATCAGGTTCCTACAAAACCTAAAATAAATTTCAATAAAAATTAGCAAAAAAAGGAAGATTTAATATTGGTGTGCTTTCCTGAATATTATTAATTTTAAAATATTTTCCTGAAGACAATTCAAATTTTGCAGTTAGTAAAAAAAAAAAAATAAAAAAAAAATAATAAACTTTTTTTTAGGATTAGTAGCGTGATTTATAACAGTTTTGACGTTGTCGGAAATCTTCACGTTGATTGTAAGTATCTGCTTTTCTGTCGTAGAATTTATCTTCAGTGATGTTAATAGGATCCGGTTCTTGGTAATCTTCTGCCCTTTCTTTAATGTTGTAGTCTCGCGGCAGGAATTTTGGAGTTGGAAGATGATCGCATTCGAATTCGTATTGATATCGCCGGCCGTATTCGTCATAGTATTCCATTCCTATTTTGAACAATTTTTTAGATTTCTTATTGCTTCTAACCCATTTACCATAAAAGTCGGTGATCAAAACCGATAAAAGAACGCAAAACAAGATGGCTAAAAATTCGTAGAGGGGGCAGCTCATAAACATTCTGTAAGTGAAAAAAGTAGCAATGTTTTTTTTGATTTGAAAATCAATTTTAACATAGCCAATGAAAATTGATACAGTTTATGGCCAATTTTGGAAAATGCGTCACGCGTCGCCCCGATTCAAGAGTTTCTTATGATTGGCTGAAATTTTTATCGACTCGGATGTTTGTGAAATTTTTTATGATTGTTAAATTTTTGTTGCAGATCATTTAGTAAATAAAATTAGTGATCAAGTTTATCAAATTTATTAAATAATATCGTTAAGCCTAAAAAATCTGTAATGCATTAAATCCTAAAATAAATTGCAAGAAAATGTTTGCAATGAAAAAAAGCATATGGGAACGTTTCCAGTAAAATCAAGTCATGAGGCATAGTAAATCATATGATCCGTAATGTGATTTTACTGGAAACGCTCCCATATATTGGATCTTGTTACCTTTTGTTAAATTAGGTAAAGATTGCTAGTAATTTAAACTTAAAAGATGCTATTTAGAACCTTCAAGAAAAGGTATTGAAATTTTATCATTGATGGATCTCTATAGGACCTAGAAAACTTCCATGCAAAACAACGGAAAAGTAGGAAAAATATAATAAATATTCCATGGCCTGCACAAAGCCCAGATATGAATCCTATACAAAACTTATGGCAAGGATTGGATCGGCAGGTAGGCGCTTCAGGAGGAGTGGTTAAAATTAGATAAAAATAAATATAAAAATTTGATTAATAGTATTCCTCGTAGGATTGCTGCTGTTATAGCTAATAAAGGTAATCCTACCAAATATTAAAATATCAAGTATATATAGTTTTGGATTTTATATATTAAATAAATAAAATTTATTTAATTTGATGCGGTAGTTTTTAAATTATTGCAGTTTAAAATTTTGTGTAAATGATCGTTTGCTTGGTGATTTTGTACCCCCTCTCCTATTCTCCTCTGTACACGTACAGAATTTTATATATATTCAAAAAAAATTTTTTTCCGCTATATTTTATTTTACTTAATAAACTTAATAAAAATATTTTTATTTTAATTTTTTATTTTTTATTTTTTAAAAAAAATTTATAAAAAATAAAATCGAATTTAAAACAATGAAAAGCAAAATTTGCAAATATAGATAGAAAAGAGAAAAAAATGATGTTATTCTTTGATCGACATAGACCGATCATTTGCCGATCGTCCAATTAAAACTCAAAGTTACGGGAGCGAAAAAATTTATATGAAAATAATTTAAATGCGAATTCGAACTGATAATTTCAAATTAAGATGTAATCAATCTTTGATTAATGGCAAGAAAAAGCATTTAAATATGAATGCTTTTTAGTAAAAAAAATAATATAAATATTACTCATTTATCACAAAATTATTATGTAAAGCAAATATATCTTTATTTGGCAAAAAGCATTTTTATCTTTCATGACTAACAATGTGTACACTTCTGATGAACAAAGTATTTTTCTTTTAAATCCATACTCCATAAATTGTACATCCATCAAAAGGCATTTCTCGGAATAACTTAATAAAAATTAGCTTTACATATTAACTATTATAAGAAATGGTTTTCCCGCGACCGTAATTTGTATCACTATTAGTATTTGTTTCACTCTTAAAAAGAATTTTTTTTTCCAGATTATCATGAATTATCATTATTATTTAAATGACCTGTTTTCCCTGTAAAAAAAAAAAAAAAAAAAAAAAAAAAATGTTACCAGCAGTAGTTTCAAACGTACTAATTTATATCGTATTAGTAGTATTCTTAGGAATCGGGATTTACGCAGGATATAAAAAAACAAAAACCAAGTCAGATTACCTTTCTTCATTGGGTACTCAAAATGCAGTCGCCTTGGCCGCCAACTGGTTTGCTTCAAGTAAGAGCTTAATTATATGAAGAAAAAATTCAGTCTTAGGAGAAACAAATTTGAGGTGGCAGTTAATGGTTTGTATAGATGCAGTGTATTTATATACTGTACAGGTAAGGTGCTTTTGTTCAATTGAAGTGCCAGTTTTTCTAAGAGACTCCTTCGATGTCATGTAATCATTCGGGAGAAATTTCTTTTCTCCATTGAAAATAAAATTTCTTAAATAAATTTTTTTTTTTTTGCTGTATTAAATAAATGATAAAATATTGCTTTCTTAACTTTAGTAAATTCTCTCGAATATTATATAATATCTTTTGATTCTCGATAAAATGATAAGTCATTGAATCGGCACTACGGGTGCTCGACTTTTCTGTAATTTTTAAAGTTTCAAGAAACCTATTTGAGTCTTGGAAACTAAAAAGTTGAGAAAAGATTGGGCTGAGAAAGCACCGTTAACTACCTGATCAGGTTAATGCCTGCGTAGGGAAGCTGCCGCCTAAAATGTTCTTCAGTGTAGTATTTTAGGATAGCTCACGTGTTATTTCCATCTAATTCCTCTTATTATCTTACCATTAGGTATTGGTTCATCTATATTATATGCGTACCCTGAAGTTGGTACAATAGCGGGATTATTAGGTGTATTTATGTATGCCTTTGGAAGTGTTGTACCGTTATTTGTGTTTGCATGGCTTGGTCCTTTGGTCAGGAAAAAAAGTCCCGAAGGATTTACTTTAACACAGTTTACGTTGGAAAGATTCGGACGCGTAAATCAAATTTATATTTCTTTAATGTCAATGGCTTATATGTTTAGTTATATGATAAGTGAGCTATCAGCTGTTGGCAATATTATAAATTTATTAACGGGTCTTGATAAATATGCACCAGTTATTATTATTGCCTTAATTGCAACTATATACACTGGTACGTGTTTTAACCTAAAAAAAAAAAATTACTTTCTTACTTTCTTTGTTTGTTATTTAAAATTTTGAATTACTTTAAATTAGGATATGGAGGACTTCGTGCATCTTTAATCACAGATCATATTCAAGGGTGGGCTATTATTATACTTGTTGTACTTTCCACAATTGGGCTTGGAACTTCTGTGAAAATTGAGAAATCTGTCGTCGACAACTCTCCTCTCCTGAAATCCAATTCATTAGGATGGCAATTGCTTTACATTATGCCCGTCGCTCTCGCATTCTCCACTCTTTTCCACGAGGTATCTTCACGAATATTATAATTCACCTACTTTCAACTCAACTTTCTTAACCCCTCCTTTTTATAATTGTTAAGGGATTTTGGCAACGCACATTTTCATCAAAGAATAATCGTGAATTGCGACTTTCTGCGGTCTATGGTTCGATAATGTTATTCCCCGTCCTTGTTTTGATAGGATTCACTGGTATATTGGCGGCATGGTCAGGATTATGGCCAGGAGAAGAGAATGTAGAGGGATATTTAGCATTTTTCACTTTATTCAAAGCATTACCAGATTGGGTTAGCGGAATCATTTTAGTATTGACCGTTAGTATGAGTTGTGCGGCATATGATACATTAATTAGTGCCACCACTGCTATCATTTCCAATGATTTGTTCCAAAATCGTCTTTCGTTGAATGTTATACGTGCTTTATCATTAGTTGCCAATATTCCAGCTGGTAAGTTTTTCATTTGACATTGAAACATTTTTCATATATAAATATTTTATAACTTAGCCATCATTATCATTTTTTTTTTTTTTTAAAAAAAAAATCGCGTATTTTAATAGTTGTCTTGGGATTAAGAGATTTGGATGTATTGAGAGTTTTCCTTATTGGAGATTTATTAGCGGCGGCTACAATGCCTCCCATATTATTAGGATTATTTGATCCATTTTACTTCATCAACTCGATTGATGCATTAGTAGGAGGCATCGGAGGTTTATTCGGCGTCTTTATCTTTGGTTCAATTTTATATAATAGTGCAAAAATGGGAATTGAACTTCTCGGGTTACCCTCCCTTTATAATAATGATTATAGTGTATTAGGAGCATTTGTTGCAGCACCTTTAGCTTCAATCTTCTTTACTTTCCTTTCTTTTGGTGTGAGATTAGGAATTTTGTGGGTGTATGCTAAAGTTAAAGGAGATAAATTTGAGTTCCCCAAGTTTATTGATAAGAGCAAAGAAATGAAAAAATCTGAGAATGAAGGCGGTGAAAGAAATGTTCAAGTTGCTGAAAAGGAAAATGCGGAGCTTACCGATGATCATACAGTTTAAATGACGTAGAATACCTTTTTTAATGTGTATTAATTTTTGTATAGTATCACATTACTGTATTTGTACAACTATTAATTAATAAATAATTTAAGACTAAATCACCGGTATTTAATCAAATTTTTTGTTTCACATAATTGTGTTGTGATGATCCAAAGATGTTGTACCCTACCTAATAGGGGGAATGTGACGTCAGTTGACATTATACATGGGATACCATATATTTATTTATTAGAAATCAATATATCGTCGCGCATTTATGTTAGACATTATATAAATTGATGGAATTTTTAACCAATTTTGGTTTGGTTATTTAACAAAAATTTATTTTAAGTCACCTTAAATGATTAGATTGATTAAATTAACATTTTTGACATGTAAGGACCCTCTAAAGTATAGCCTAACTTTAAGTAATATTTTCTTACTCCAACTCCACTAATGACAGCTAATTTGGAACTACCATGTTCAAATTTAGCAATCCTTTCGGCTTCCTCCATTAATAAGGTACCATAACCTTGATGTTGAAACTTAGTAGGATCTCTATTATGCATAGGTACAACACTACCATACACGTGCAACTCCCTAACAATAGAAGTGGGACAAGAGGTTAATTCGGGACGAAAAGTAGCCGAAGAGCATTTCCGTAACCTTAAGAGACCAATTAAAATATCTTGCTTTGGATCTTCATAAGACAAAAATGTTTCCCATCCACCATTTGCCACATAATCTCTTCTGATTAATTCAATCTCATCAGGTTTAACTTTATTATGAATATCAACAATACCAACTTCCCTCGTTCTAACGTCCCTACATTCAATACCTAAATCCTTCATTCTATTTAATGCCAATTCACGTAAATTTCCATGTTCAACACCAGAAGTAACCAAAGGCATCGGAATATCACGTTGAACGCGATATATTCTTGTCCAAGGAGGAACCAAAGCTAATATCCTTGCCACTAAATCGACCAATGCATTTGGAGTATAATTCTTGTACCTTCCCGTTCTCCATAATTCATATAAACCAGTTCCACGAATGACCAGGGTTGGATATATTTTCAATCCATCGGTACGAAATGCTGGACTTTCAAAGTATTCTTTGAATTGTTCCAAATCACGTTCCATTCCAACATTTGGTAAATCGGGCATCATATGTGAAACTACTTTGAATCCAGCATCTTTTGCTAATTGAAATGTCTCTGTTACCGCCTTAACAGTATGACCCCTATTCGTATCTCTTGCGACATCCTCATATACGCTTTGAACTCCAATCTCCAATCGAGTACATCCATATCTTAACATTTGACTCAAATGAGGTTTAAGGCAATAATCAGGACGTGTTTCAATGGTGATTCCAATACATTTCGTCATACTTTGTTCAGAGTACCTCACGGATTCATCGACATCAGTTGTCATATGTCCCGACAATGCATTATGTAAATTAGCGATAAACCAATTTCTATAATCTTCAGGTAATGACATAAATGTACCTCCCATTACGATATATTCAACTTTATCAACGTTATGTCCAAGACTTTTCAATTGATCAACTCTTCCTCTTGCTTGTTCCAAAGGATCATACCTTGCTCTTATTGCTCTCATACTAGTAGGTTCATAACCTGTATAAGACTGCGTTGAATATTCAAAATCTGAATCTGGTCCTCCCGGACAATATACACAAACGTTCCCTGTTACTGCAATATGTGGACATCTATGTGGTTTACACATAACCGCCACCACCGCAATCCCTGAAGCTGTTCTAACAGGTTTAGCTTTAAGTTTAGGTAATAAGGCCTGTTTATACTGTTCAGGTATAGCTGCTATTATATCAACTAGTTTCGGTTGATTATTCAATTTATTCAATCGAGAATATTTAGTTTTCAACCCATTTAAATTAATGTCTCTTGAATTCTCTTGTGCTATAATTAATTCTTTGACGATTTCACTACATGCTTTCACCATTAACTCGGCCTACACATTATTAAAAAAAAAAAATAAGTAAAAATCCGAAGTTGTGTAATGAAATGTTTTATAAAATGCAAACCTGACTTGGCCCTTTTTTATTTTTTATCGCCATATTTTTTTTTGTTATAAGAGAACGCAGAAAAATAAATTTTGATTTCTGATGTCGCAGATCAATACCGTAATCCAAGGTTCACGTGAATAAAAATTCACGGGAACTAAACGCCTTTAATAGTAATTTCCATTACCCTCAAAATAGAGGTACATTTTAATCTATTGAAAATCTAAAAAAAATTTCTTAAATTTAGAATTCTGTCCGAATCTCTCTTAGATCCGAAACAAAATCTAAGTCAAATTTGTTGAAATCGAAATCCAACGAAAACCGTCGTCAAAATTTGTCCGACTTTTGACATATGATATTAGGTTTTTGCCCCGTAACCTTATTCCACTCATGAAAAATATTTTATTTAACACGAAAAACGCTAATAAAAACATATGTGATTTAAACATTTAACATTATTATACCCGAAAGCGATACGATCACGACGATGTATTCGAGTTTATCCCTTTTCAAAATGATAGTACATCTTCCTTTTTCAAGGCAAGGGGATTCTTGAATGTAGGACATTGGTCGTAGAAATTCGAATTGGATCAGAAATTTAGAGAAAAAGAAAATTTTTATTCGAGAAAGTTTCTTTTTAAGAATAATAAGAATAACTTCATATATTCAATTTTCCCCTTGAAGTAAGTCAAGTACTCACGATTAAATTTCATTAACTACAACACTTTTATCTTAGAAAATCTTCCTTTCTTTTTCCGAAATATTCTTGAATTACTTGAGCATAAGTTCCATAGAAACTTTGAATTATTCGATCAATTCCTTTTGTTGATGACCCAACGAGATAAGCAAATTTCGCAAAATTGGATCACCTTGACACAGTTTTGGATTTTGTAAAGTACCGGAGAGAATTTTTCCACGGAATATCTCTTCGAATGTAGCATAGCATTAAATCTCGAGGGTAACTCCTAATTTTTTGACTGCCTGATAATATTCTCGTAAAATCTGTAAACAGTTGAATTGACGAAAAAAAATAAAAATAAAAATAAGAAGCACTTGGTAACTTTCCCACGTTTGTTTGATACTAAAAACCGGTATTTTCTTCCAGTGTTCGGACAGGACCCATAAACTAATATACAGAATGTCCATATACCTCATTTAAATAAATTACGTCATTTAAATAACCTAATTGACATTTTAAAATCGTCATTCCGATCTAAATTAATTTGTCCCACTTATGATACTCATATGATTAGCGCCGGATTTCCCCCCATTTATTGTTGTTTTTAGTTTTATTTCTTTTTGTTATTATATAAGCTAAAAAATTTAACGCCCCATATTCTGAATAAATACAGGTAAAATCAATCCTTAATAAAATATATTCTTTATAAACGCCTTTAAATTTGATATCTTCTTTTACTTAATGATATATTTATTATATATGTAATTGAAAATCAAAATGGCAAATGAGAACATAAAATCTCATATTAATTATTCTCGGAATAAGTCGGAACATTCAGATGAAAAGAAAAAACCTTCACAAAATGAATTGGAATTAGAATTTGTTGATGAAGTACATGTAAAAGCTTTCGCCAAAGCTCTTTCGGATGATCCAGAATCCGATCAAACTGAGCACATCGCAGCTGTAACCGATTTCATGCCAACTCGTCAAAAAGTAAAAAGGAAAAAGGCTTCTAAAGAATTTGAAGGATATTCATATCATATTATCAGATATCCTTTGATGGTAGGTGATTATTTTAATTTAAAATCATGTATTACGTACGACAAAGGTTGAAGATCTATCTAATGGTGTAACATCTCTTCGCTTAGTCCTTAATTTTCGCGATCATAATCTTCGAATTATTGTTATATATTCTGATTCGACAAATCGTCAATTTTTGGGAATATTTTTATCAATGGTAAAAATTTTTAAAAAGTTGAATTATTTTAAATGATTATATTTATTTTTTATATGAATTTTTTCAATAAACTGCTTTCAAATCAAGGAGAGGAAAACGTCGACTATTGAGAGAAAAAATGCGTAAAAGCAACAATTATGAAGAATGGATTGAAGCTGCAAAGGAAATAGATGCACATTTCAAATATGATGAATGGAAAAAGGAAATTCCTTATGGATATTATGATTATAGCCTTTTACTAAAAGTCGATCGAGATTTGAGATCTTTACGTCAAGGTACTACCGAAAACCCACAGAAATTGATGAATGTCCTTCAAAATTGTGTTAAGCATAATTATGCGGGGATTGAGAATGTTAGATTATATTCTCATTCTTATTATGGAACAAAAAATGTTGTCGAGGAATATATTAATGAAGGTTCGATCTCTAATGATCCTACTCAAGTTATGATGCCATCATATAAGATTAATCTTACCCTGATGTGTTTTCCTTTTTAGTAACCGAATCTCTTGAATTTTCAAGGACCACAAAATCATTATCGATCGGGGATAAACATGAACTCTTTAAAAATACTTACAAAAATTATGGACGAACGGCGCTTTGCCTTAGCGGCGGTGCTAGTTTTGGATATTATCACCTGGGTGTTGTGAAAGCACTTTTTGACGCAAAACTTTTACCGTCTGTGGTTTCTGGAACCAGTGCAGGTGGATTGATCGCTGCATTGGTTTGTGTAAGAACTGATAAGGAATTGGATCAAATATTGACTCCTGAATTATACTCACGGTTAACACCATGTTCAGATTCGTTTCTTGTATGGTGTCAGAGATGGTGGAAGACCGGCGCTAGATTCGATGCGTGTGATTGGGCTCGGAAAGTTCAATGGATAACTAGAGGAAGTTTGACATTCAAAGAAGCATATGAAAGAACCGGGAGAATTTTAAATATTTCAGTGATTCCTTACGATCCGCATTCCCCTCCAAAGGTCATAAATTACATAACCGCACCTGATTGCGTTATTTGGTCAGCAGGTAAATACCATAAATTTATTCTCGTTTTTATATATATATATTGTTTTTATATTAAGAATTTTCTATCTTTACAATAGTTATCGCTAGCGCTGCTGTTCCTGGTATATTAAATCCTGTTGTATTAATGCAAAAGTTAAAGGATGGTTCAATTATACCATATAATTATGGTTATAAATGGAAGGATGGATCGCTCCGCACCGACATCCCCGTTCAGCCTTTAAATATGCATTTTAATGTTAAAAATACCATCGTTTCCCAGGTGAATCCACATATTCATCTTTTTTTTTATGCTCCTCGTGGTTCAATCGGTAGACCGGTAACTCATCGTCATGGAAAAGGTTGGCGAGGTGGATTTTTGGTTGCTAGCATTGAACAATATCTAAAGTTAGACCTTAACAAGTGGCTTAAATGGATACGTGACCTTGACCTCTTGCCAAAGGTTGCTGACCAGGATTGGAGTTCAATTTGGTTACAAAAGTTTGAAGGAAACATAACGATATGGCCCCATTCAAGTTTTTTAGATTTTTTTTATATTCTGACCGATCCAAATCGTGAAAGACTCGCAAGAATGATCACGGTTGGACAACGAGTAACTTGGCCCAAATTGCACATGATTTCGAATCGTCTTAGGATTGAGAGAGCAATTCAAAAAGGTCGCGAAACACTTAGACGAGAATTACGTAGACAAAGATATCTCGATGTTAATAATCGCAATTCTGTAAGAAACGGTGACGATGTTGGAAATAGCAGAAATCAGATTAATGATTTCCGAGACCGTAACATTGCCTCACCTATTCTCAGTAATGATGGTACCGATGATTTAAGTAGACTTGAGGATGATTTAGATGATTATTTAGGAAATGAGGAATCTGCAGATGTTGAGATTTGTGGTTATTATGGTGACGGAAGTAGCAAAGCAGAAAGTTTTGAATCGGATAATGCTCCTTATGATTCATCATCATCTGATGATGATGATTATAGTACTTTTGACGATATTGACACTCCAGGTCATCATGAGTATCTTATATCTTCAAATGTTCCTCTTAACATTTGAAAGAGTATTCATACATAAATTTATCAAGAATACTTAATTATTTATTAGGAAATAGATTATATAAACGTCAAAATGTATAAATTAAATTAAACATAACATTAGTAATAAATCTGGGTTTGGACTTAGATGTCGCACTATCTAAATAGAATTATATATTTTATATAAACAAAATTTTATGATAATTTAATTCTAAAACGGTCAAATTTTTGACCGCCCGATCAGATGACTAACACCTGACATTTGCTTGTCACGTGAAATTAAGCTTATTTAATGATCGACCACATGCAACAAATAAAAGTGAATTCCGATTGTTCTTTTTTACTTTTTTTTAAAAAAAAATGGAATTACAACATAGGTTTATTTCTATTCAAAAGGTGACCCAAACGTTAATTGAAACCCCTTCACAATGGGAGCAGCTTTTACCTTTCGTTACAGCTCAAGACGGGATAACATCTTCCAATGCTGTTAATAAAATCGTTTCACTTGTACGATCAGAAATTATATCTTGGAATGTTATTTTGAATAAATTAACAGATTTGTCGTTAACACTTTCGGGAGTTCTACTTGATAATGTCATAACAGGAATTACTGACGTTTTGATATACCAAGTGGAAACTCAAACCGATTCTTCATCAGAATTTAAATATCCATTTAGTGTTAAAACGGGTCTTAATCGTAGAATTCATCCTTTTATTCTAATTATTTCAACAAAGTCAAATGAATCTTGGTTATACTTATTTGCACAAATTGAAAGAATTTTTGATGTATCAAGACTTGAATTGATTAAATCTAAAACTTCCGAGAAAAAATCTGCATTTCTACGAAATATGTTGGAAATGATTCGACCATTCTTGGATTTCGTCTTTTTAGATAGGTCTCAAAGGAAAAATGAACAGTGGTCATTTGCTTTGATACATTTTCTCATTCGAATTGTGTTTCAAGGTGTCGATGATAAAGATTTTGATGAATCAAGGGAATGTACTTTAAAATATTTGCTTTCGGTGGTTCAAAGGATTTCACTTACTCCAATTATTTCGCATTATATTGCAAGTGGCACGGTCTATGTATTAATGCAATCACTTGTTAATATCATGAGTGTAACTTACCTCAGAAATAGTTTCACTCCATCTTTTTCGAAAGAATTTAGCAATATACTTGGTATTCAAATTCTTTCTATCGCATGTGATGCGCATCAATCTAATTTACCTACAAGCCATTATGTAGCTTTACTTTTTAAGTTATCTAAACTTCATTATGAATCTCCGAATAGAATATCATTGCCAAGTTTTATATTACTGTGGCCATCTTTAACTTTTTTGCTGTTAAATACTCATTCGTGTGAAAGTCAATCCTTAATTCTTAAAATTATGAAGGAAGTGATCGAAAACAAGTTAAATGAATCGGATAAACAAGACGTAAATCCTGAATTAATAAATGTAGCAATCCTACCTATGTTTCAAATAATGTCTGATTTAACACAGGATGAGACAAGGAATATTGCCATGGAAATTATTTTAAATATACAGAATTTACACAATCTTCAAAGTTCTTCTAATAAAAAGTCTTTAGAAGAGGTATGTTATCTTAATTATTTAAATAAATGAAATTAATGTAATTATTTTGAATTACTCGTTATTAAACAATTTATCCTAGGTTTACAAATTCATATCTTCAAGGTTTATTGTTGGAAACCTTGCGGAGATATTATCAGAGACTCATAATCTCTTAAAATCATTTCCTCTCTCTGATGTATTTAGAATTGATGATGTAAAATCACCATTTTTTCCTCTTTTTCACATTCCTTATTTGTTTCATAAGAAGGAGAATGTGCAAATTCAGGCTTTAAATGAGATAATTTCTATTATAAATGATAATATTTCTTTGGCTCAATCACAAAAGTTTCCTATATTTTTGTTGATACTTTTTATTTTAAGAAATGATGATTTGTCTTCAATCCATCCTCATATTTTACATCAATCTTTACCTTCACTAATTTCCCCCAAGGATCCGATTATAACAGCAAAAGTATTGAAAATTACAATGAGTCTTGTTCAAGTTGATAGAGAAACAAGATTAAAAGCTGTAGGAATCAGAGTTTTATATAAACTCTGGGAAAGACAAAGAAGATGTTGGAAGTCATTGAGATTCATTTTGGGTGAATGGGTTAAAAATAGGAAACTTAATAATTCACGTATAATTAATGATGACGTAAAAGGTGAAAGGTTCGAGGTTGAAGTGGCAGCTTTAACTACAATCAGGTAGGTTTAAGAAATTTACAAACAAATTAAGCTTGATTTTCTTTTTTTTTTTGAAAATAAAACATAAATATGTGATTTGTTTTAGAGATATTTGCAAATCAAAGGCAAGAGATTATGCCGAGGAAGTTATTCCTTTCATGTCAAGCCTTCTTCAGTCTGTAATTCTTCATCCGAATAGTTTATGTTTGATAATTGAATCTTTAAATTTATGTGTTGAAGCAAAAGTTATAGATAGTCGGGCAGGTATGTATCAGGTACTTTTTGTTGATTCATGCTGTCTTAATTTTTCTTTTATTCATAATTTTCCTTACAGTCTGGACCGTCTTAATGTCATATGTGGCTGATGCAATAATGCAAAGTAAACATTTAAATGTAAGATTGATTGCTAGGTTATGTCAATTTTACCGACTTGTGGCTCAAAATGAAGGTATTTGATATATATATATATATATTTATTTAATGATTCTATCTCTTAATAAACTAGTTTTTTTAATTCAATACTTTTTTCCAGATACCGATGTATATAATGAATTTAAACAGGACATATTATCGGTATATTTGTGTCCATTGATTTTTCCAAATTATCGCTCCAAGTTTTCATTAAATCAAGAACAACAAGAAGAAATTTGTATCAATGATTCAGTAATTTTCCAAATTCAATCTAATACACAAATATTAAAGCATGGATTAAAGGCAATAACTCTATTTAGCGTGACGGAAATTTTATTTGAATTTTTTCCGGAATCTCCAAAGATATTATTGGATCAAATCTTCAATAATAAAGGTTTAGTCAAAATTGAAGAATGGCGACTTTTATTAAGCAAATTTGTTTCTTATGAGATTGATAGTATGAGACGCGGTGTGTTTAAAGGTATCACTGGTAGAGCTGGTAGTAAATCAAGTATAATACTCGAAAGTGAAAATTTTTTAAAGGTCAAACAAAGGTTAACTTTGATTGGTTCGGAAATTGTTGATGATTGGGAGAGTGGAAGATTAAATCCTGGATTAAGAGTTGGAATTGCTCTTGCTTCATTAAGGTGTTTTAAACCACCTATCAATGAAGAAAGTGAAAATGAACTCGTCAAGCATGATATACATGTCGAGTCTTCTAGGTTTTATAAATTACTTACTAATGCAATTCAAGATATTTCATTGACAGACCATTGGATAATTAGAGTTGGATGTGTTGCCGAATGGAACAACTTTTTTGTTATGGGATTACAAGAAGTTTTATCAAAGACGAATGAACCAAGTGATGGAGAAAACATCGTCAAATCTTTGATGGAAGATTTGATGAAACGTTTAATTGATGCAAGGTTTCCTGCTGTTTTTCAGAATGTCATTTTGGCAATTACAGGTCAAGTCTATTCATATGTCAATTCTTGGAGTATTTGATAACTTTTGTCTTACTTTTAAATTTCCTATTTACATATTTAGGGTTATGCTTGGCATTAAAATCATTAAACATCCCGTCAGCACAAGCACATGTAACGAAATTTCTGCATCATTTGTTAGAAAATTTTTTGGTTGACGCTGCATTAGTTTCCAATCAGCGAGATTCGAGTCTCATGACAAGTGATGAGGTTCAATTTGGTGTGATGATGGCTTTAGGCCACTTGTCAACTTTAATTATGATGAATGAAATGTTACTAGAGAGCGCTGTTAATACTTTGGTCACAAAATTATGTGAAGTAGATGAAAGGTATAATTTAATTTGGTTTTTTTTTTAATTGAAACGTTTAAAAGGTTTAAAATATTGTTATTTTATGAAGTGATATGTCGGGGTGGACTTTGTTTGGAACAGGGTATGCCCTTGGATTTCTCATTTCATGTATTGCGTCTTCTCCAACAAAGACATCTGAAATGGAAAACATTTGTTCTCAAACAATAAATTTTCTTAACGACTTCCTATCTTCACCATTATTATCCGTTAATCATTCAAATACACCACAGATCAATTCTGCTTTTGGTGTTTTACTTGGATTATCAAATATTGATCATGAATACAAAGAAGCAATAGGACAAATTTATCAAAAATGTTTATTGGATTTGAAAGAATTTGTAAATACCGAAGGTAGAATTGATGAAAATATTAAAAGTACAATTGCTGGCTCTGCATGGTTGGTTGGGTTTTCAAAAGGTTTAGACCCTAATGAAGAGATTGTTGAAATCTTTAAGAAAGCCACACAAATTGCAAGTAATGAGGTAATATATATTTTTTTTTGAGTTAAATAAATCTGTTTATATATATTTAAATTTATATTAATATTTTTATTGGCTTGATGATATTAGCGAGAGTGGACAGAATATTATTTCCATTTTTCACAAACATATTCTCACATTTTGCAAAATGCTCTTTCAATAAAACAATCATCTTTTAATCTTTCCGCATTTAATACTCAAGTGCATTCACAAATTCAAATTCTTACATCATCTGGTTTGAATATTGTCAAACATCATGCTGCAATTATAACCTTAGGATCTTTATTAGGTGTACATTATTTTTCTTCCACACAAACAACAAATTCATATTTCTTTACTTCATCTTCTTTGACAATGGTTACGCAAGTCTTGGATACTTTACAAAATATTGCTGGTCTTGGACAACAACAATCTTTAACTTCTAATATAATGATGAACGATGTTAAGGGTGGAAGATTGGCTACGATCGTTTTGTCATGTTTAGTGCAGATTGTAGAAAGAATTTCAGAAATAGGAAATGAATTTACAAGGATTAGTAGT